GAAAAGGCAAAACTATGGAGACAGTTAAAAGATCAGTGTTGTAAGGGGCTGGGGAGAGGGAGGATTGAAAAGGCAGAGCAGAGAGAATTTTTAGGGCAGTGAAACTATTCTGTGTGATACCATATGGTAGAAACATGTCACTAAACGTTTTTCATGCTCACAGAATGTACAACACAAAGAGTGAAAACTAATGTAAATTATGGATTCTAGTTAACAATGATGTATCAATACTGGCTTATCAATTGTAACATATGTAGCACACCAATGCAAGATGTTAGTAATAAGGGAAACTGAGGTTTTCTGGGATCTCTCTGTACTATTTGCCCATTGTTCTATGAACCTAAAACTTCTCTTAAAAAAAAAACTCTATCAACACTTAAAAAAATTTTTTTTTTAAGTCATGGACAAAGGCATACCAGGAAAATGTCCTATCCCCCTCATCAAAAAAAAAAAAAAAAATCGATATAAGAGCAGGAATTGTGACTCTGATATTAGATAAAGTAGAATTCAAGCCAAAACATATTCAAGATGCAGAACAATGAGAACTCTCCTCTGCGGCTGGTGGAACTGCAAATGGTACACCTATTTCAGACAACAGTTGTGGGCCAGGTGCAATGGCTCATGCCTGTAATCCCAGCACTTTCAGAGGCCGAGGTGGGAGGATCACTTGAGCTCAGGAGTTCAAGACCAGCCAGAGCAACATAGCAAGACCTTGTCTCTACTAAAAATAAAATAAAATTAGTTGGGAGTGGTGGTGCATGCCTGTAGTCCCAGCTACTAAGGAGGCTGAGGCAGAAGAATCACCTGAGTCCAGGATTTCGAGGTTGCAGTGATCCATGTTCGTACCACACAGACCATCCTAGGCAACAGAGTAAGAGTGTGTCTCACAAAAAAATGAGGAGGGGAAGGGAGGGGAGGGGAGGGGAGGGGAGGGGAGGGGAGGGGAGGGAGGGGGAGAACAGAAGAGAGAGAATGAAAGAAAAAAGCAGAAAACTGTTGTGTAGTTTCTTATTTGATGTAAACATCATTGCCTTCTAACACAGTAATCCCATTCCTAGATATGTAACCACAATAAAAATGTATGTCCCCACATATGTACATGAATGTTCATAGCAGTTTCATTTGAAATAGCTGTAAATTGGAAATAACCCAAATGGCCATCAATAAGAGAATGAACAAATTGTGGCATATGAATGCAAAGGAATACCCACTCAGCAATACAAAGAAATGAAGTTCTTATATATGCAACATTATGGATGAATCTGAAAGCACTAAACCAAGTGAGAGAAAACTGACCCCAAAAGGCTATATACAGTATGATTTCATTTATATGACTATCTAGAAAATACAAAACTATAGGATCAGGAAATAGATTAGTGGCTGCAAACAGCTAGAGATGGGGAGGGAGGGCAAAGCATGACTACAAAGGGCATGATGAAACTTTTTGGGGTGATGTAAATGTTTTATATCTTCATTATTATGGGGACAATGCAACTGTATGCATTTTCAAAGCTCATCAAACTATATGCTTAAAAGGCGTAAATTTTATATCTAATTACCTCAATTAACTTGCCTTTTACAAAAGGAACTAAAAAATTTATAATCACAATGTATAAATCTTATCTGGATCTTGATTTACACAAACAAACAGAAAATGACACTTATATGACAATTGGTCATTTGAATGCTGACTAGGCATTTGATGACATTAAGGAATGATTTTTAATTTTTAGGTGTGCTAATTAGTATTGTAGTCATGGTTTTTTAAAACAACTTTGAGATATAATTCATGTCATATAATTCACTCATTTAAAGTCTACAATTGCGTGTTTTTAGTGTCCTCGTGTGGCTCTGCAACTATGGCTGAGATCAGTATGAGAACGTATCAACACTCCGCAAAACCCTCACGCTCCCTGGCGGCTACCGCCCTAGCCCTGTCTCCCTAGCAAATGTCTCTACACATTTGCCTATTCTGGACATTTCATGTGAATGAAATCAGATACTATGTGGTCCTTTGTGAAAAGTTTCTTGCACTTAGTACAATGTTTTCAAGGCTTATCTGCATTGTAGCACATAAAAGGACTTCATTCATTTTTATTGAGAAGTAATGTTCCATTATATAAATATACTACATTTTATTTATCTTTTCATTAGCTGATGGACATTTTCATTGTTTGCTCTTGGGGCTATCATGAATAATGCTTCTATGAATATTAACGTACTAGTTCTGTGTAGACATTATGCTTTTATTTCTCTCGGTTGTTTACCTAGAAGTGGACTCTGTAAAACATATTGGTAACAACTATGTTTAACTGTTTGAAGAGCTACCAGACCATTTTCCTGTACCATTTGACATGTGACAGCAATGTAAGAGTTCCCATTCCTCTACATCCTCACTGACACTTGTTATTATCTGTCTTGTTGATTATAGAGTTGTACAGCACAGGCACCGACAGTTCCAAGTGAATACCAGGCAGCATGCTATACAAGTGTGTACTGGCTGGATTCTGCCTTCTTTAGAAGGCATTTGAAAATATGGAAGAATGTCTTAGGTTACACAATCCCTGAGGATTGTCACTGCCACTTAGTGTTTGGGAACCAGGGAAGCAAGATGTTCTGCAAAGCAAAGGATAGTTCCATACAATGAAAACTTTTCCTGCTCAAAATATTAGCGGCATCCTCATTGAGAAACACTGCTGTAGAGCAATATCATGTATGAATATTGATAAAAGAATCTTAAAATATTAACAAGAGACCCTGAGAACATACTGAAATACTACATTGGTACCATGTGGAATTCTTCCAAAATCCAAAGATGACACATGTAGTGAATATATTAATATGATTCACTAAAACAAGTCTAAGGAGAAAACTCATGAAACTTTTTCTGTAGACTGTGAAAAGGCATTGCACAATTCACTATAAATATCACTTATAGTGACTATTTTTTACCATATTCAATAAATTAGGAACCAATAAATACTTAGTTAATTTAATGAAATATGTCTCTCTGTGCCCAAAAGGGAGCATCTGTCTAACTGGGAGACGTTAGAAGAAATCTACTGAAGTTAGGAAGAAGATAATGAGATCAACTCTGGAGGCTTACATCATTTTTCATGGATTGGAAGAGTCAATATCATAGTGATGGCAGTTATTATGATAACAATATCAGTTCTCTTCAAATCTAAGCAGATTTTTGTTTGCGAAAATTAACACCTTATTCTAAAATTTATATAAAAACACAAATAGCCAGAAATAACCAAAGTAGTCTTGTGGAAGAACAAACTAGATGATTCACAGGACCAGATGCAAACACTCATTAGAAACCTGTAGCAGTTAAGAGAATGTAGAATTAGCACTAAGACAAATAAGAGAGTTCACAAATCAACTCATCTACATATGGAACACAGGTGACATTAGAGATGTAATAGGGGAACGGTGAGCTGTTTAATAGATTCTGGTTCACTATGTGAAAAAAGTAATGTGAATGCCTATTGCACTATATACAAGGTGGACTCTAGATAGATTTATGACATACTCTCAAGGTAAAAATATAAGAAATATAAAATAAAATTATAAAAAAATTCAGTTCAGGGTAAGCAAAGATTTTTATTAAATAAGAGCCCCCAAAAGTTTAAATTATAAGGCAAAGGAGGAGAAAGTAAAGATTTGGCTCATCGAAAATCAGCGTTCTTTTTCAGTTAAGTATCCATAAACAAAGTTGATAGAAACTAGAAAGAGATCTTTGGAAGGCCGAGGCGGGTGGATCACGAGGTCAAGATATCGAGACCATCCTGGTCAACATGGTGAAACCCTGTCTCTACTAAAAATACAAAAAATTAGCTGGGCATGGTGGCGCGTGCCTGTAATGCCAGCTACTCAGGAGGCTGAGGCAGGAGAATTGCCTGAACCCAGGAGGCGGAGGTTGCAGTGAGCCGAGATCGCGCCATTGCACTCCAGCCTGGGTAATAAGAGCAAAACTCCGTCTCAAAAAAAAAAAAAAAAAAGAAACTAGAAAGAGATAACTGAATGTTTGAAACAAACATTTAATTAATTTTTAGAATGCAATGTAGGTAGCAGTATGTTAGTCAATAAGAAAAAGGCAGAAAATTAAATGAAAAATGGGCAAAGGATATGAACAGGTAATAGAAGGAGAAGCCTGCATAATATGTGAAGAGATGCTCAAAATCATTAGTTATCAGAGAACTGAAAACAACAACAGCACTACCTATTACTGGATAATAATGAGATTGGTAAAAGTAGGAAACTTAATAATACCAAATTTTGGTGAAGATGTACACTGAGTGAGAATATAAATTTTAACTGCCATTCTGGAAACAATCTTCCAGAACTTTGTTAAATTAGGTGTCTGTATTTCCCTTGGCCAAGCAACTCTATTTGGCTACGTATAGCAGAAAAATGATTGTATAGATACATAAAAGGACTTGTAGAAGACCCTCATTGCAGTATTGTCTATGATGGTAAGAAGTTATATGTCTAGCAATAGGGGTATATATAAATAAAATATAATTGATTTACACTAGTAATTAAGCAGCAAGAAGAAGAAATGAAGTAGAAAGTGTTGAATAACAAAAGTAATATAGAGAATGAGGTCTATACATCCTGGTTTGTCTAGACAGTTCCAATTTATACCTGTTGTAAATTTATACCTGTTATATAATTATTAACAGCACTCCCATTCTGAATAGTTTAGGCAATATACTGAATAGTTTTCCTATCTATATAACAACACCACATTGCAAATAGTAAATCACAGAAACACTCAAAACAGCACTATTTTTGCTACATGCAAATTTAAGGAAATGGATTAAGGAGGGGACCTACATGGTAATGCGTGGGATGGAAAAGGGTAATATATGAAATGAAAGAAATGAAATGGAACGGTGATAATGACTAAAACTCAATATGATTAACTCTGCTCTCTGCTCCAAAGTTCAAAAAATTTAATAATAATAGTTTATTAAAAATTCAACACTTACAATAGTTCTGGTACTAAAAATTCGATAGTCAGGACTGTTACTGTGATACCTGTGGAGGAAGAAGCCAAGTATGAATATTAAAACTAATTTATTCTTCAAATATGAGGATTCTACATGTGGTCAGGGCATACCTGGGCTGCCAGGAGCTTCACCTTTCTGCCTGATTCCCTTCCTAGACGGCAACTCAGGGCTAAAACTGGGCCTGTCGGTGACCTCTAACCACATCTCGAGATGTGTTAGAGTTTCCTCAGTATCTGAAGACACTAATATGAGAAGTTAACATTCTTTTCCTTTTTTATTTTTTGGTAGGACAAAAACCCTCAAAGAACATTGGCTCTAACTCGTTCACTTATAAAGAGTTAAAATAAGAATAATAAAGATTGGAATTTCAAAAATGCAGTATTTTTTTTTTTTTTTTTTTTGAGACAGGGTCTTTCTCTGTCACCCAGGGTGGAGTACAGTGCAGTGATCTTGGCTCACTGCAGCCTTGACCTCTCAGGCTCAAGTGATCCTCTGGCCTCAACCTCCTGAATAGCTGGGACTATAGGCACACGCCACCACACCCAGCTAATTTCTGTATTTTTTGGGTTCTTAATTTCTGTCTGTATGATTCATCTAATGCAGTTGTGTCCAATGTAACACAACTTACCTCCTGTAATTAAAAATGTTCAAGTAGCTACTTTAAAAGCACAAGAAGAATGGGTGAAATTAATTTTAATAATAATTATAATTCAACATGTAATTAGTATAAAATAATTAGTGAGATATTTTACATTTTTTTCATACTAAGTCTGAAATCTGGTGTGTACGTTACACTTAAACACATCTCAATTTGGGCTATATCTCAAGTGCTCAAAAGGCACATGTAGCTGGTGACTATCATAAATCATCATCTTACAATTCCTTCACCTTCCATTTGCTTCAAGAATCTATTCCATGTCTACACTGCATATCTAATTGCAATTACAATTGCTCTATCCATAAAGTGTTAAATCAGAGGCCTTTGTTCTGCATGTAGAGGAAGAGTTGCTAGGATATCATGATGCAATTCCCTTATCAGAAGTATACAAGCCTTAATAGCACTCTGAACTCTAATTTTTAACAGAAATCAGCCACCTTTATAATGAAACACATTTTCTGTATATACACATCAAATAAAAAACATCTTCATGTATTTTATATGCACCTATAAATTTATTGTCATCAAAGGCTTTTTTTGAGTGTGAACCACCTCACACTTCTCATGAATCTAAGATCCTTTTCATTACAGAGAGTAAAATACAAGTGGCAAATTTGGTACTTTAATTTACAAAGTTAAATATGTAATTTAATAAGATTTGGTAGCTAAATGATAAAATGACGTTTCCCGGCAGGTCTTTTCTCCTCACTGGCCTCCTCAACAGCTTCCCACTCCTACTGGGGCTGAGGACAGAGTAGGGAGAGAACAGTAGCTAAGAGTCATGTTTAACTTATTAACTTATTCGCAGATAACAATGATAATGCCTTTTCATCCTTGCTTTATTAATCATGTCTAATATTTAATGTATTATTGTTGGAAACGGATCTAAGAGGCCCATAGGTGTGTGGGGTGTGCAGATCGACATGTGCTATCCTTTCGTGAAGAGGACACTGTCATCTCACTCTTGGACCACAATGATCCTCTCTTCTCTAGCAAAAGAAGGGTGCACGAGGGGAGAGGAATGTAAGAATTCATAAGGGCCAGGGTGCTGTGGCTCATGGCTCACAGCTCAGGACCAGTAACTACAGCACTTTGGGAGGCCCAGGAAGGAGGATCACTTAATGAGACCAGCCTGGCCAATATTGTGAGACCCTGTCTCTATCATTTTTTTTTTTTTAACTTAGCTAATCGTGGTGGAGCGTGCCTGTGGTCCCAGTTATTCAAGAGGCCCAGGTGGGAGAAGCGCTTGAGCCCAGGAGTTCCAGGCTATAGGGAGCTATGATGGCACCACTGCATTGCAGGAGCAAGAGGCCGTTTTCAAAACAAATAGACGACCCCGCCCAAAAAACAAAAATGTGGCGGGGCGCTGTGGCTCACGCCTGTAATCCCAACTCTTTGCGAGGCCGACGCGGGCGAATCACGAGGTCAGAAGATCGAGACCATCCTGGTCATGGTGAAACCCTGTCTCTACTAAAAGCCTGTAGTCCCAGCTACTCAGGAGGCTGAGGCAGGGGAATCGCTTCAACCTTGGGAGACGGAAGCTGCAGTGAGCCAAGATCGTGCCACTGCACTCCAGCCTGGCGACAAGACTCCGTCTCAGTAAAAAGAAAAAAATTAAAGATCTCACAGGGGCTCAGACGTTCCGAGGACAGCAGCTTGGAGGTACTGCGACCTTACTGCAGGAACCTGATCTGGGTAGCAAAGCGCTAACAGCGTCCCCTCTCGCTCATGAAAAACTCTCGGGTGGGAGCTGCGGGACACTGATGCTGGTGTTCCGGAGGCCGGGAGAGGAGGCGGTGGTCGGCCGGGGCGCATCGGGTGGGGAGCGGGAATAGGGCCCCCCTGCCGCGCTGGAGGTACTGCCTGCCCAGTCGCTCGCCCGCGGCTGGCGTCTCTCTACCTCCAAACGGCCAAGCCACAGCAGCTCAGCCACGACAGCAGCACTGCCACTTCCCGGGCTGACATGGCGCCTGCTCGGCCTCCACCAACCGCCCGGACCACTTCCGTTCAGGCCTCGCGCATTCCCCGTGGGCGTGGGCCGGACGGGTTGCGGCAGGGTCTTGGGTCCTGGCGCCGCCGGACAGGGCGGGCCGGGCCTGAGCGCCAGCGAGGGAGAAGTGTGCGCATGCGCGCGCGCCTCTACCTGGGCTCCCTAGAGGTCTGAAAGCAGCTGGGGTGCAAACCTGTACACCAGATTTTAGGAAAGGCAGAACCAAGCTTTCCAGCAGCGAGATTGCAAAAACACTTAAAAAAAATCCGAGTTGTTAATTAAAAAACAAAAAAAAGAGAGGAAAAAAAGACAAAGAAAAATCCAAGTTGCCGGAATGAAGGTGAAACTTTTAAGGTAGTCTTTTAGCCCAAATCTTCATGCGATTGTGTATAGACGCTACAATAGCAAATACATATCTGGCAGTGCTTTCAAGGGAGCAGGCACGCCATAGTGATTTTTTGTTGTCGTTTTTGTTTGCTTTTGAGACAGAGTTTCACTCTGTTGCCCAGGCTGGAGTGCAGTGGCGAGATCTCGGCTCACTGCAACCTCCGCCTCCCCTGTTCAAGCGATTCTCCTGCCTCGGCCTCCTGAGTGGCTGGGATTACAGTCGTGTGCCACCAGGCCCAGCTAATTTTCGTATTTTTAGTAGAGACGGTGTTTCACCGTGTTGCCCAGGCTGGTCCTGAACTCCTGGCCTCAAGTGATCCACCCGCCTCAGCATCCCAAAGTGCTGGGATTACAGGAATGAGCCACCAACTCTGGCCAGGCACACCATAAATATTTTTTTTTTTTTAATTTATTCATTGCAGGAGACCAGAGTTTTATTATGACTCAAATCAGTCTCCCAGGCACCGAGCAATCAGGGAGCAGAGTTTTTAAGGATAATTTGCTGCGTTGGGGGAAGCCGGTCAGCCAGGAGTGCTGATTGGTCAGGGATGAAATCACAGGGAGTAGAAGCTGTCTAAGTGACTTCCTGGGTGGGGGCCACAAGATCGGAGCCAGTTTATTGATCTGGGTGGTGCCAGCTGACCCACCGAGTGCAGGCTCTGCAAAATCTCTCAAACACCGATCTTAGGAGCAGTGTAGAGAGGCTCAGAATCTTGTAACCTCCAGCTGCATGACTCCTAACTCACAATTTCTAATCTTGTAGCTGATGTTAGTCCTACAAAGGCAATCTAGTCCCTAGGCAAGAAGGAGGCCTGCTTTGGGAAAGGGCTGTTACCATATTTATTTAAACTACAAACTAATTTTCTCCCAAAGTTGGTTCAGCCTATGCCCAGGAATGAACAAGGACAGCATTGAGGTTAGAAGCAAGATGGAGACTGTTAAGTTAGATCTTTCTCACTGTCTCAGTCATAATTTTGCAAAGGCAGTTTCAATCCCTCCCTTTGGGTTTTATAACATCTTAATCTTAAGGTGTAGGCTATGAAGATGGGAAAAGGCCGTTGATGGCTCTGGCTTCTTCCTACTGACAGGGGACATAATGGGAATGGAGGGAACCCCAAGGTCAGAAGGGTGGAACCACTTTGCAATTGTCTGAGTGGACTCGTGCAGGCCTGGTTCAGTTTCCAAGGCTTGCATGGCAAAAACATTAGTACTCTCATCCATAGTTTCACTACAGTGTTTAAGTGAACAGTCTGCTGTAGGTAAATAATGAGTTCTACGATGAGGAGTACAACTCCCAATTTTAACAGCAAAGATTTGACAGCATTCGTTTGGGGGCTTCTAACCCACAGCTAATTTAGTATTTCGTCTAAACTGCAGAAAAAAACCTCAAGAACAGCTAACTACAATGTACTATAGTTTTTCTTTTGAAGAGAAGTTTTTCTCTCTCCAGTCTCCATTCTTATAAAAACAAATCATGATAGAACTGATTTGTTTACAAAATCGACTTTAGTCTTACTGTACTTGGCCTGATTATTTGCATGAAGTGAAGCAAGAATAATTATTTTCCACTTAGGCTTTTTAAATTGGCTTTGATAGAACTCTGTTCCATGAAGAATCTCAGATCAGACTTTTTAAAAGCCAAGCCCAGCCAAGGGTTTGTACCCTCCAATACCTCCGCCTTGGGATTTGAAAATTTCTTTCCTCTTGAGGTCCCAAGATAACTTGAGGTTCCTGGGCTTGTTACAAAGTGACATTTTTTACTTACCACAGATCAGGAACCTTGTACAGGGACTCTGTGTGGACAAGGTATTAGCCAGACTCCCCAATGGGCTTTAACTGGCTTTATAAGTCAACTTTGACACTTTAAAGGAAGCATGCCATTTCAATCAAAGCCTCGGTAAATAACTAGCTTCTCCAATTGTGTCCAGTTACAAAAGAAAACAGATTCTTACTTATGAAATCAACTACACTGCCTTAAATTGAGAATATTCACAGTGTCCAAATTCTGGAGAAATCAGGTAGAGAGAAACAAATATGCTCTAAATTTTGTTCACAGGAGTATATTTTAGTCACTTGTTAGAATCGCAAATAGCTCTAAAGAAATAAGCTCTCTTGACTCTGAAAACAAAAGGTTTAAATAAATTCTCCATCAGAGTCCTAGAAGTTTGGTTTTTTTCCCCTCTATTTCAATAGCACAATTTTTAAAGTTATTTGGGACCTGCACTCAGAGTCCTATATAACTGTCCTATATAACTTTTCAAAAGACATATAAAAGTCCTATATAACTCTCCTATATAAGTTTTCAAAAGACCTATAAAAGTCCTATATAACTTTTCAAAAGCCATATAAACTGCCTTTTGAAGAGGACCAAAGCAAGACAAAATGTCTGTGGATGACAAACGTCTATAGCCACTATTAAAGCTACAACTGACTAGGAATTTTGGTTACTTCCGTGGCACACAATTTTACATAACCATTGTAATTATTAGTAATGTATACTAAATTATATCAACATTATAGAAATTTCCTGTAAGTTTGGAACACATACCAATAACATATTTATACAAATACAGTCCAGAGAAAACCAAACACCATTCACTTTTCTATTGGAAAGTTTTTTCTAATGTCACAGTTTCCCAGAGTTATTAATCTGAAACTTGCCTTTAAGAGCACCTGCCAAGTTTTATAGCTGATTATAAAATCATCTTTTAAAGAGGACCAAAGTGAGAAAATAATTGTCTGTGGATAACAAAAACATTTTAGGGCAGCCACAATGAAAGGAACCATTGACAAAGAAATTTACTTCTGTGGCACACAGTAATTTAGCATCATAATTATAATTTTTACTGATAACATATCCTAAGTTACATTAGAATTATAGCAGTTTTACATAATTTTAGAACATATACCCATAACACATTTTCACAAATACAGGCCAAAGAAAGCCAAACAAGATTTTATATTTGACAATGCTTCCTGTATGATTTTGGCACCAAATAAGCCATATATCATTTTTGGACTTCGGAGGACCTAATATCTAAAATATTAGGTTAGAAAGAGACATCATCTATCATTTGATTTCGGAAAGTTTGTCAAATATCAAAGGTATAAAACACTGGATATCACAAAATAGAATCTTAGGTCAACCTAAGTTATTCATTTGGCCAAAATGATAACTCCAAAAACATTTTTTTAAAAAAGAAAACCTTTTACTATGATAGAGGTCCTGTTTCCAAACAAGACCCAATGAAGATAGCATGAAGCCAACTCAATCTGTCTCTTCTCTTTCTCCTCCTTTTTTTGCCTGGCATTAAACCAAAACCCTTTCATTATCTTTTAATGTTACATAAAAATTGTCATCGAGAGAAAACCAATTTCATGTTTACACTAGTGCATCTTTAATGTTAAAGCTAGTTTTTTAAATAAAATTTTATATCTCTATCCAGTTTTAATTAGTTTGACTATAAGGTAAGATTGTCATAAACTTTTTAGAACGCTTTACAATTTTCCATCAAGCAGCAGATCAGTTTTCTAAGGAAACCCTGTTATTCGGACACATGGGCCCAGATTCTGGCCCCATATTAATTATGATTTTAATGTTTTAATCTATGAAAAAAAGCTAAATAATTTCTTTTAGATCTTAGCCAACTTGTTAATACCCACAGAATTTTTTTACAAGATCAACCATTTACAAAACCTTTTCACTTTGCTTAAACCTTCCTTTTGTTCCCTTACTCTTTTAGGTTAAGACATCTTTAAAACTCTCTGAATTAGACAAAATTACATTTTTTTTTCCTTTAACAAAAGCTATATTCTTTCGCCTTCTTATAATCTTTTCCCAGAAACACATTCCCTACACCCCTTGTATGTAAAACTGTTTCTCCAGCAATCTCAATTTCAGGTTACAGTGTTAACTCTTAGCAACTTTCATTTTTAGTGAAAAACCGGATAAGTAAGCAAGTTTAATGATATGCTAGGGGTGGAGCCTAGGACATTAGACAGAAGTGCAGATAAAGCCTGATTCTTTTCAGCAGAGCTAGTGGGCCTGGCTCTGCATGTATCCCCAGGCCTTATCTATAAGGCTCCAAAGTAAGCACATCCAGCGATTTTCAAAAGTTAAGGAAATAGTTTGACTTTAAAGCATTTAGCAAATCTGATATCCAACCTTAATTTAGAGCAAAGGTCTATATATTCAAGACATTTTATTTTACCAATAATCCTTAAAACTCTCTTCATTTCCAAAAGATTACTAAAGTCATGTGAATAAAAAGGCATTAAAGTTTCTGTTTTTCTGACAAAATATGTGATGTGCTTATTTTTTAAAGCCAATTAATCAGAGCTCTGTTGTATATAAACATCACACACACACACACACACACACACACAAAACACATATAAATTCAGACAGAAGATTCGACACTTATAATATTTTTCATTTGCCAGTTTCTTATTTGGATGACTGGCTTCAGGGTGGAGCGGCTGGAGGAACAGGGCTAGGAAAGCACGCATTTCTAGGGCCAAATAAACAGCAAATAAGCAGCCAAAGGCAAAGACAGATTCCCAAAATTAAGGGTGCCATTTTATACTGCATCCTGGATCCCAAAAGGAGGAAAATACTTCGAGAGAAGATAGTGCAGTCCTTTTACTGACTGCGCCTTTCGCCTTTCATTGCAAGGCAACCCAAGCCAATCAGTTCATTTGTAATTAGATCACCCCCAATGGG